ACTAGAGGGTAATCAGAGTTTTATCATCCGACTAATTTCCCCAAAGATGAGTGTAGCTGTAGAGTAGCCCACTCACCAGATTTTCTAATGGACCTAAAGCATAACAATATTTCGACTGGTCAAATGGGGGTAGTTAAATAATTCCACGCTTTATGATGAAGCAGTAGACATTCACATTGTTATTAACAGGTTCGTGATCTGAAAGAAACAATCGCTTAGGTGAATTAGGATTTTTCATCTTTAGAGATGTGTGACCGACAATGAAATTGAGAAAAAGTAGAGGAGATGTGAAATCAAGAAAAGATTACAAGGATAAATGCGAAATCAGAGAAGAAATATTATTGAAATCGAATAAAAGAGAGTTTATAGGAAAGGAGACGAAAAATGAGGAAGTCACCGTGAGAGAAAGAATTCAGAGATTAGGGTAAAAAAATTATTGTAATTTGGATAATTCTGAGTTTTTTTTTCTTCTCGTCAAACGATTTTATTAAAAAATCTCAAAGGTTAAGTTTTCAGCACAATGAAAGTCCAAGCCCAACATTTTCATATCTAACAAGGATAAACATTAAAAGTTTAAAACCATAAAACTAAACACGTGTCGTTTCTATCTACCACGTGTCCGGAAAACGCAAGTTGCCCTAAAAGCTTCACATATCTTCAACGCCGGACATGAGAAACGTCGACATCGGAGTTTCCACCGTTGGTCATGCACGTCAGTCGCCATTATCCTCCCAGTATAGCTTTCATCACATGACTTTCATAGCATCTTCATAACTCTTCAAACTTCACCTCTATCAAACGCCGAAGCCAAATGAGTTGACATCCAAGACCACCGAAAATTTAGAACAGAGAATCTTAGCAGGGGAGAACAAATTCCCGGGCAGAACACGCCGCACAAAAATCTTCTCGGGATCCCTTCCAAAATTCCCAAAAACATAGCCTTCAATCCCACAATAGACACATCACCTAAACTAAGACCCTTTTTTAGGGAGATGATGATTTATGCTATTTGGAATAAAAAGTATGAATTTGATGGAAAACGGGTCCCAACTCAAAACAAACGGTTTACCAATTAGACGCGATAGAGAGAGAAGAAGAGTAGATTAATCCAATCAAAGTCGGAACCCGAAATCCGAACATGTCGGAAGCCAAAAATCCGGTTGTAGCCGGAAAAACATCCAAGAACTAAAGATAAATCCGACCAAGTCGAAAGCTATATC